ATGAAAAAAAAAGGGTATTAAACTGTTTCAATTTGTTTTGTTTTTTTTTTTTCGTTTACATTTTTGCGATAATAATGAGCAGTTTTAATGTTAAGCGATCATTTAGAAAAGATATATGCATCTGTAATAGAACTTTGATTAAATGAAGAATAAAAACCAAATCTAATCTAGAATCATTGTAGAAATAAAACAAAAACTGATGTTCAAACATAATTGTAAAACTTTTTTTGAACCATTGTGCAGTTATCCGGTAAAATTTTTCACAAAAATTTATCTGTCAATTTATATCTGAACAAAAAAAAAATATTATTAATCTATGGTGAATGCTAAACTATCGTGAAGAAGAAGAAGAAATATATATATATATATATGTAAATACTGTAGAATAACATCGGTTTTTTGATTGAAAAATTTGTGGAATAAATTAAACCAGCATCTTGACACACGGGGTATACTGCAGGATTCAGATGTTAACATTAAATTCGGCTTCCAGAAACTGTTTCTAATTTTGTTTAAAGAAAAAGGCTACTGCAGACGAGTAAATGAAAAGTTTTGGATGACTGTATTTTGACAGAGAGAATAAAATTACATTCTAATTTTGTGCCCCCGCTGTTCCATTCTTACAGTTTTTTTCTTTTCCATGAAATTTTCTTCTCAAATCCTGTAATTTTTTGAAGTTTAGAAAAAAAAAAGAAAGGAATGCAGAAGTAAGAAGGTTTCAAAAAAATACAAGTTTTTTTTTTTTTGGAAACTTAAACTAAGAGGGATAAGGAAAAAATTTGCTGCTGTGATTTGCTTTGTCAAAAAAGACCTTAATTTCTTGTTTTTTTTTTTTAACTATATTATTATTCTCTTCTCTTTCTAAAATAGACTTTTTTTTACTTTACTTTACTTCTACTTAAGCAAAAAAAAAGCAGTATTATCTGATTCAGAATTGCTGTCTGTTTTTTTTTTGGGCACACATTTAGAATTGCATAAAAAAAATACAACTTCCTCGAGTCAGATTGAATTTTTTCCGACGACATCAAACGACATTGTTTCAGCAAATCGGATGTAAAAAAAAAAGATGAATACAGTTACTACAAAGTTGGTTTATCAATTTTTTTAAACCAACTTTTAAAGTGTTGATAGCTTTTAGAGACAAACAAATAAGTAGAAGAAAAAAAAAAAAAGCAGAGAGAATATAATAAGTTTTTTTCAAAATTTATATATCAAGGTTTTTTTT